CCTACCTATCCAAGAGCATAGGAGATCTTTCCATTTTCTGATATCTTCTTCAATTTCTTTCTTCAAAGACTTCAAATTATCCAGACATGAATAATTCCTCACAGGCATGCACAGTGCTTTGGGTTTTGGTGGATTCCATATGAAGTTAATCTGACAAGCAAGGTCAGTATCACAGATTGCCACACACACACACACATCATGGTATACACACTGCTCAAATAAATGTAATAAGAATTAAATCCTGCACTCTTTAGGCTCTTAGTTAGTGGTCACTACCCATTCCATGTCAAGGGACTGACAGACTATTTTCAACTTGCCACCACAGCTCAAATACTGTCAAAAGCAACACATAGCTAAATATTGAGACTATATTTACAAAACCAAGTGTGTGGTAGTTTGAATGTAACTGGCCCCCATAAGCTCACAGGGAGCCATGATGATGGTGGACTAACCCTCTGAAACTGTAAGTCCATTAAACATTTTCCTTTATTAGAGTTGCTGTGGTCACGGTGTCTCTTCATAGCAATAGAACACTAAGACAAAATATAAGGCTGCAGTTGGCCCATGAGCCAAGAGTTCATCAACCTTTTCTCTTGAAGGGACAAAAAGCCATATATGGAAAAGTTAGATACTGGTGACTCATGTCAAGAAATGACATGGGAGATTTAATTGTGATCTGTGAAGACATTTTAGGGGTATTTGAACTGATTATATTTTCTTTGAAATATAAGGCTGATATGTAATTAAAAATAAGCCAGAGCTTTGGCAGGATCAAGCCTCTGGAACCACAACCTGCAGCCCCAGTAGTTAGGGAAGAGCTGGGACTCCAGCTTAGGTGAGCATAGAGTCCTCTGAGAGACCAGACCACTGGATCTAGAGGTCCCAAAGGCCACTGTGGAACTGAGGTCCCACTGGTCACCATGGGACAGAGAGTTCCACTCTTCTGTTTCCAGAAGTCACATCAAGCCTGTGGCTCTGACCACAGTCTCCAGTAGCATCACAGAATCCAAATCATGACCAGGGTTTTGATGTCATCTGGTGTCCTTTGTGTTCAGTGTACAGTTTGACCCTTGGCCGGCTTGGAATATTCTCCACGACAGCCGGCACCATTTTCACCAGACCCCATGGCTGAACTCCATACAGACATCACTCTAGAAAGGGTTAAGAAAGCAAAACATCCAGATGAACTCAAAAGGAGGGTAAGTCAAAACTGAAAGGATAACTCACTCTAAAGGCAAAGAGAAAACACAACAAACCTCTGCTATGACCATGCCTACCCAGTCAACTGCCATAGAGTGGATTCCAAAATCACAGAGGGAGCTGAAACATGGGAGAATGCCAGATGGGAGGGAGGAATTGGCAGATGGGTGAGTGACTGGCAGGTGGTAATTCAGAGTCTTGGTGATTAAATGAATTAATGATCATAGAGAAGACTCAAGCGGACAGATGCACAAACCACAGGAATCTATTCAAGACCTCAACAACGCAGTCTCCAAAGGGAACGGAACAGTTAGTAGAAGTAAAAAATACTGAGGAAAAAATTCAGCAAGGAGATTGAAGCATCAAAAAAGAGCCACACAGAAATAGGGAACGAACCAAATGGAATCCACATCAGAAAACGCATCAAGAGACAAGGCCGTGCAGAAGAATAAATCTCATGGGTGGAGGACAAAGTGAAAACAAAAATACAAAAGACAGAAACAAGCAAAACAATTAAGGAGTGTGAACAATATTCTCAAGAAGTTTGGGATACATTCAAGAGACCAAACCTGAGAATTGAGGGTGTGGAAGGAGTAGACCTAAAATCAGACCCAAGAGACGAGCTCTTCAATGAAATTATAGCAGAAAACTCCCTAAACCCAGAGAATGCGGTAAACATCCAAACACAAGAGGCATTTAGAAGCCTAAATGGACGTAACCAGAGGAGACACTCTCCATGACACATCATAGTCATATGAAAAATACAAAGCAAAATTGGGCTCAGAGACACGGAATTTTAATTGCAGCACTCGGGAGGCTGTGAGTTCAAGACCAGCCTGGTCTACACAGTGAATCCCATGACCGCCCCCCCCCCCCCCCCCCCCCCCCCCCCCCACCCCCCCCCCCCACCCCCAAGCAAGAAAACAAACAACAAAAAGGAAATATTGAGAGCAGTATGAGAAAAACGACTCAAACACAAAAACAGGAATATCAGACTCTCCCCAGATTTTCATCAGCAACCACAAAAGTGTGAAAGGAAACATTTCAAGGTCTGAAAGTAAAAGGCAACCCCAAATCTCTGTGTCCAAACCTGTCCCACAGAGCTGTTTCTGAAAGCCTAATGCTAAAAATTGCAAATACTAAAAAGTACTGTTGGCAATCCCTGTTGCATTTTGTAGGAGTGACTACTAATGACAGCACTAGTGGAGCGTTGACTTGAGAATTAAAAGTACCAACAGCCAAGGCTGGGCCTGGGGGCTGCCCTTAGTCACTCCTGTCTCACTTTCCCCCACTACCTGACTCTCCCCATGGCATCCACATGTGGCACGATAAATAAAAGACCCAGAGACCAATACTGGGGTTCAAGCTTCAAGCTGAGGATCAGAAAACAAAGCAGCAGGCCACTAGCTCTTACTCCTACCTCGGCTCGGACCTGAGAGGCAATCCCCAAACTGTTCCCGACTTAACTGCTCCTCAGATTCACTCAGACTGCTATGCTCTCCTCAACGTGGCTAGAGACTAACTCTCAGACTGAAGGCCTCTATCTTTTATACCTCTCAAATCCTGGGATTAAAGGCGTGAACTCTCCAGTAGCCCAGGGTGGTATTGGACTCTTCATCCGGAGTCCTGGGATTAAAGGTGTGTACCACCACCGCTTGATCTATATAGATTGAGGCTGGCTTTGCTTTCTGAATCCTCAGGCAAGCTTTAATAAATCATAAATAACTATCACCACATCCACAACTTTGGCTCTTTAGCATGAATCTAACGTGTGCTCTTCCCTTTCAGTCCTCCAGCCTTAAGGAAAAAGTGGTCCAGGGCTTCCAACTCTCCCTTTCTTTTGCTCACTAAGCTGATGCGAAGAGAGATCCCTGTCCCTGCCTTTCCTTGGTAATTCCTCCAGAACAGAAGCAAGCTTCTTCTGGGGAAGTGCCTCAGCCTCAGGCGCATGGCATTACAACTAAGGCAATGGCTTGAGGGCAATCTCTCCCCTTTTGTGCTACTCAGGAACAGCCATTTTCAGAATATCCTAATTGACACATGGCAGAACTCCACTCATCAAGCAAGCACACCAAGTCCATAGCACAGAGAAGACAGTGGACACCAGCTTTCTCCCCATGGACACTCCACCTCCGGATAACTCAGCCTCAGGCACATGTCTTACTAGCCATGCAACCAACACCGTAGTAACAAGGTACACCATCACTAGGGGAAGAATGGCCATGTTGGAATTCTCTATAACTCTCAGGAATTTCCCTCAGAGGCTCAGCCTTCTTTGTATGCCTTACTACCCAGGGTAAGGGCCACACAGTTACTCCTGTCATAATCATCTTTGGATCTGTTGTGCCCTGGGTTGGGCCAATTTGTGTTGTAGAATATTATTTTTAAGGTGTGTTACATTTGTTTATGCTCTGAAAGAGTTGTTTCATGATGTGAAGATGTGTTGCTTTTGTTTATGCTGCATTTGTTTAGGTCTGTGAAGCTGTGTTACTGTGCCTGTCTAAAACACCGGATGGTCTAATAAAGAGCTGAATGGCCAATAGCTAGGTAGGAGAAAGGATAGGTAGGGCTGGCAGGCAGAGAGGATAAATAGGAGGAGAAACCTGAGAAAAGGAAGAAGAAATGAGAGAAGGGACAGGAGAGGGAAGGAGCCAGATAGAACAAGGAGAAGAGGACATTAGGGGCCAGCCACCCAGCTACCTGGCCAGCCACAGAGTAAGAGTAAACGTAAGAAAAGATATACAGAAGTAAGGAAAGGAAAAAAGTCCAGAGGCAAAAGGTAGTCAGGATAATTTAAGAAAAGCTGAAAGAAACAAGCCAAGCTAGGGCTGGGAATTTAAAAGAGAGAATAAGCTTCTGTGTGTGAATTATTTGGAAGCTGAGTGGCAGGTCCTCAAAAGAGCAAAGAACAAAAAGCCAAAAGACTAAAGAGTTAAAAAAAAAAAGAAGTAAAAAACAAACACCAACAAAATTTTGGTGTTCCAACATGGGGCTAGAGTAAAAGAAAATCCAACAACAAATGTGTTAACTTTTTCTAGCGGAGATGTGAACAAAAGTCTATCACCTTAAACTGAGCAGAATGACAGAACAAACTATGATTCCATCAAAGCCCAGCTTGACGAGTTTACTATGCTTGCTTACAGACACGGGTGGAGGTCACTTACAGAACCACAGCCTCACAAAGTCCCACACTATCGTGAATGATGGCATCAAGGGAACTGCATCACAGAGTTCCCCTTACAGTTCCTAGTAGACTACGTTTCCCAAGATCACTTGCAGCTGCAAGGGGGGGACTGGGCAGGAACAATAGCTTGACTATCAGGTGAGGACTTGTGACCCCTCCCTCGTTTATCTACCAGGAAATGTCAATAGCTACTGATTTTCTGCTTTTACAGTAGACTTGGCTGTCTCTACAATACTTTGATCATTAGTCAAGGCTATCAGGCCAACCTAGTCTTTGCCTCATGTTATGTCGGGAAGAAAAAAATGCCATACAACAGGTGGGGTAGAAAATGGGTAGGTGGGGCCTGGAGAGATGGCTCAGAGGTTAAGAGCACCGATTGATCTTCCAGAGGTCCTGAGTTCAATTCCCAGCAACCACATAGTGGCTCACAACCATCCGTTATGAGATCTGGTGCCCTCTTCTGGTGTGCAGATATATATGGAAGCAGAATGTTGTATACATAATAAATAAATAAAATCTTAAAAAAAAAAAGAAAATGGGTAGATGGATGATGAATGGATGGATGGGTGTAAGGATAGGGAGATTAATAGGTGGGAGGATTGGCTAAAAACTAAATAGTTTTGTGTTGCTGGTTCACCTTTGGTCACTGGTGAATGTGATGTCAAAAAAAAAAAAAAGGCATAAATTAATGCTTTGTAGCCAATTTCTTGCCCTGGAGTTCGGTATCTTGGGTTGTAGGAGCTGCACGCATAAGTAACAAAACAAAACAAAACAAAAACTAAATAGATGAATGTCCAACTTGTATGTGGATATGTGGATGTCAAGAAGAGAAGAGGGCTGACTGGCTGGCTAGCTGGTCAGAGACACTGACAGATGAATAGATGGTGGTTATATTGTGATGGTTATATCGGCAGAAGGGTGTGTGTGGATGCATAACGCAGCAAGCCAGACTCTCAGAGCAAGATCCACACTCACTATCAACTCACCTGCTCAACCTGAGCACTGCTGCCACCGAGGAGGGGTCTTGGGAGTTGTAGTCCAGGGATTCCACAGAGCCACAAGTGGGCAGGGAAGACATTACTAATTGATTGTTTCTTCTTGTAGGAGACAGAGGCCCAGAAGTGCCCTGTGGTCTGTCCAAAGGCCAAGTACAAACCTTGTCCTAAGTCCCACTCACAGCCCTACTGATGAACCCCCTCCCTCCACACACACACACACACACACACACACACACACACACAGGTCTAGCTCATTGGCTGAGGGGCCATCTCAAAAGTCTTCATCTAATGTGCTTGAGGGCAGAGAGCCTCACTGTGGAGCACATGGTGCTGGGAACTAGTTCTTTAAAGTCCACCATCTCACCTGTGTTTTCCTTTCCCTTCTACCCAGGATGGATGCCCCAGAGTCCAGCAGAAACAGTTACGTTCTGATGAGCGCAAGAAAAGTCAGCGAGACCCTTTAGAGGTGTCCATAAGGCCCAAGACCAAGACTCAAATGTAATTTAGAGCACCAGGCTGCTTCCAGAATAAAATCACAAGAAGGTCCACGCTTCCAGGGAGGGCTTCCTTACAGTGGGATTAACAAGAAGAAAGACCCTGTAATTTTAAATGGTGACCAGTAGGGGGTGCACAATGGCCAGGTTTGACTCACACCATGCATTCCTCAGTGCTCCATCAGTAAAATGGGGGGCAATAACAATGTATGGCATAGAGGTGTTCAGAGAAACAAGAGCTGAGGGGCATCTGGCACGGTACTGAGTGTTGTTCTTTGCTGCAGCTTTGGGTGCTGAAACACGAACCACCAAACTCAACAAACTGACGTGGAGTTTATTGGCAAAGGGAGCAAAGGGAGCAAAGGGAGGGGAAGGTGTTAACCGATCAGGAGCAGAAAAGGAAAGAGAGAGAACAGGCTGGAGGTACTTGCTTAAAAGGGAACGCGAGGGGTTTAGAACAAAGCTCGACAATTGGGGCCATTGAAACTGGAGTCATGGAGCTGCTGTTGGCCCAACTCTACGCGGCCCCAGCTCCTTGTGGTTTCTGCGTACAGAGTCCTTATTCAGCCACTTAACACAAGCACTACATAGCCACGCAACACAGGGCCCTTTGAGCTGCCAGGATATCAACAAGGAACACAGCGAGGAGCGAACACCCAGTGAAGACAGGCGAGGGAAGGTTGCCTGGAGAAGAGCGATTCCTGGGCAGGGAGAGAGTCCGAGGATTAGAGAGGCCCTGCAACCAGGAAAGATTCCCTAAGGAGAAGGCCCAGGCCCAGGGGAGAGCTGACTTGGAGTGGCAGGCGGGTGCTGAGGAGAAACCATTGGGGAGGGAGAAGGAGAGGAGTCGGGAGCAGGAGCAGGGCCAGGTTGCCCAGGCCCCGGGGAGAGGGAGAAGCCAGGATATCAACACTGAGTACATCTCTGTGAGACAGCCTCCATGAGAGTAATGGGACATATAATTGGAAGACGGCGGGGGCGTGGCTGGCTGGGGGGTGTGGCTGGCGACTCTGCTTCTACCCCATCTTCCACTGGACACTCAGATGATGCCTGTCCTAATACTGGGAAGCAAAATGGCGTTCACCTGGGGTATGTGCCCCAAGGCTGTGCTAAGGGTCAGGAATGACTCTGAACAGCTCATGAGCTTGGTTCCCCAGTGGCTCCACCTCAACAGTGGACAAAGCCATACATGGATTTGTAGAGAGGTGGGTCTAGCTGGAGTTAAGTGGATCACTGGGATGTGTCCTTTGAGGTGATATCATGTCCCAGTCCTTTGCCCTCAATTTCCCCACTCTGCTTCTTAGCTGCTGTGTGGGACAGGCATCTCTGCTAGGCAACATCCTACCTTAGCATAGATACCGAACTAGCAGACTCCAGTGATCATGGACAAAGTCCTCTGACATCTTCAGTCAAGGCTTTCTCCTTCATCTTGATCTCAAATATTTTGTCATAGTGTTGGAAAGCTAACAAGAGATACCAGAGACACAAGGAAGATTAATGATCCCTCGAGGGCCACGAAATTATCACATGGAACAATCAATAACATCTTTTTTCCATGAAATTATCACATGGAACAATCAAAATCAATAACTTTTTTTTTTTTTTTTTGGTTTTTCGAGATAGGGTTTCTCTGTGTAGTTTAGGAGCCTATCCTGGCACTCTCTCTGGAAACCAGGCTGGCCTCAAACTCACAGAGATCTTCCTGCCTCTTGAAGGGACCAGCTCCCCTGGGTGTGCTTTACAGACAAGCACACAGCAATGACTCATTAAGCATAGCAACCACCCTGGGAGGGCCTATGGGCCATAACAACCAGTTGACCAATCAACACAGGGCAAGCCCTCCAAGCCTGGAGGCACACCAATCGTGAGCCTGTGCGTACCCCTAGACATTCCCCTTACGCTGTCCTATAAGATCTCTCGGGAGGCCCCAGGAGCTGTCTTTGCTAGCCATCCGCCATGGCGGGTGGGTGAGAGACCCGAGCTAACATGGGGTTAGCTCGTTAAATTACAATAAAGCCTCGTGCAGTTTGCATCAAGCTCTCGAATCTGCCTGGTGATTGGGGTGACCGCAGTCGTGGCCTGGGACCTGGGACCCCGGATACCTGAGTTTTCCGGGGGTCTAACATTTGGGGGCTCATCCGGGATTTGTGAACACCTCTCACCTGAGTGGATTTGATCTTGGAGGTAAGATGATTCGAGCTCGCAACTTTTATGTTCAATGTTATATATTTGCTTGCTTTTGTTGCTTTGTTGCCATAGCAATTTGCTGTTTTGTTGATCTGAGCCTGTGCGGGACTCGTGACTCGTATTTGTATTTGGACTTCAGGGGGAAATAGACGTATTTCGAGACCCTGAAGTCCTGCCCTGGACGAAAGTCCAAGGGTTATTTGAATTGAACCATAGGGTAAGCAGACGTGCCCAGAAATAGACGTATTTCTGGAACCCTTGGTTTGGCCCTGGATGAAAGTCCAAGGGTTGTTTGTAATTTTGGTTTGGGGAACCATTTCTTTGCCGTGTGGTTTGTCCTGTCTAATGTCTGTTAAGCCTGGAGGATTGGAATGGGCTGGGTGACTGAACAGTTGAGCAACAGGTTTGTTATCTGTTATCTGATCTGTTGCAGCCCACGCCCTAACTGACTGCTTGTGTGTCATTTTACTATTTCTGTTAATTTTGTGGATGTGGAGGTCCCATGTTGGGGTTTCTGGCAACATCTGTGAGTATGCCTACAAGAATTGTTTAGGGCAGAGGTTCGGGCGGCAGCCTTCCGAAATCTATAGGGGAGACTTGGTTTCGAACCAAGTTGATCTCCATGGGGCTAGCCATCTGAAATTCCGAATAGGACCCTAGTCTGTGTTAAACATCTCTTTCTGTCCCTACTGCCCACACACGGCATGCATGGGTCAGGGGTCTTTTCTTGATGCTCTGAGCACGTGGC